GAAGTCAGAGTAGAGAAGGTAGGACACAGTGATGGTTTGACAATGTGGCCTCGAGGAAGGTGACACGAGGTATATTCACACAGAGCTTCTGGGACCACTACCCTGTCGTTTAGGGAAGGGAGAAGCTGCCGGGGCCCCGAGCGAGGCAGAGGCCCGTGCTGGAGGCCCCTGGGAGTCCCAGCTGGTGAAGTCTGTAGACCCGGACGGCCGTCTCCACCTGTGGCCACGGCGTGTTAGCGCCAGACTCTCCCTCTGGGCGGCTTCCACGTAGCCCCACAGTCACAGCAGTCCTGGGACTCCGAACAGAGACCTTTGCTTTGGACCGGCCAGAAGCAGGCTCTCTGGAGTGGTTGCATGGCTTAAAAGCACCTGTTTGAGCCTCAGCGACCCTGAGCTGTGCCATCCTGTAGCTAGGATGATTTACTTAGCCTCTCTGTGCTTCATTTTCTCCTTTGTAAATGGAGATATACATCTAATAAGACTTTGGTGAGGTAAGAATAAAATGCTGCCTATAAAGCACAGCATAGTTCCAGGCACCCGGTGGGTGCTGCATGAAGTGCACTATTGATATTAACATATTAATAATATTCACACGGCAGAGGGAGGCTCAGCGTGGAGGAGCAGGGAGGAATGGGCTGGACAGAGACACAGCTGCCACCGCCCTCCCCGTGCCCACCTCAGGGGTGAAGACCACACACAAAGAGCTCCACCCTTTGGAGGTGCACAGATCCATTAGATCGCCCTGGTGTGGGTCTCCAGCAACAACGCAGCGGGGTTCAGGTCTGGCTGTGAAGGGTGCCACCCTCATACCTGGAGGCCTAACGGGGGCCAGCTTTCTATGTCACCCCACAGCCCTCACCCCACACCCCGCTCCGTCCCACGCATGGATTTAGGACAGAGGCCAGACGACGTTGAGCGGACAAAGCAGTTCTGGTCCCCTCACCTCTTCGAATACGCCGAAGAACAGAAGCTCCCAGAGTCACCTTTACTGTGAAACTCTAAAATCATATTTATTCACCAATTCACAGGAAGTGTCGTAATGACCACCAACATGAATCAGTTTGTAGGCATTTACAAGCCAAGGCTGAAAATAAATATCTGTCTGTGTTGAATAGCATTTAACAAATTACTTGGAAACGGCAAGGATCTTAATTGTTAGAAATTTAAAGTTTGTGATTCCAACGTGGGTAAGATCACAGTCATGGGAAGAAGCCCAACAGATTCCCGTGATGGTTGTTATTTCTTCCTATATCTTTATATACATACAGATGCCCAGCGCCCCTCCCTCTGCGTCAGCCTGGATCGGACAGGCCGCTCATCAGGCGGGGGAGGTGCTGAGGGTGTGGGGAGGGGAGAGGGCACGTCTCCGGACTGCTGCGAGGGGGCAACCTCGGTCATGGAGCAAGGTGACCAGGGCTGTCCCGAAAGGGATCAACGTTCCATAAACGCAAACGGTGCTTCTCACGAGACAGTCCAGAGCTGGCATTGTTCACACTCACACACGCACAACGGTATATTTAGCAAGTACACACATTTTCTAGACTACAGAGGTTCACTCTCTGAGGCGGTTGGAGGAGCTCAGAAATCTGATGTGTGTCAGGTACACGCTGGCCGCCGCGGGAGCCACTCTGGCCGGACTGGCAGCAACTGTCCAGATAGCAACAGTGATTGAAGGTGATTCTGGAAAATGAGGCTGCTGGTCCTTCCTCTCCTCGGTGTCAACACCACAGAGGCTTCAGAGACAGAGCGCTGGCCTCCTTCTCGGACCCTCCACACACACTGTGGCTGGCAGCTGGGAACGAACAGCTGTCCAGGACTTCTCGGTGGCGGCGGCATCCGAGCAGGGGGGAAGGGCTGAGGGGAGAAGCCGCTGGACCTCAGGCGGGCTGAGCCCAGGACCTTCACACTTAGTTGCAGAATTGGGCCTGAAGCTGGCCAAGCGCGACAGCGTTTCACCAAGTGTTTAGGGAATGGCAGAGGCGATGGCGGGGAAGCCCCGGCCCCGCTCCCTGGAGAAATGGCCAGCTGGGCGGGATGCAGGGGTGGTCTCAGTGATGTGAGTGTCCTGCCACTGCTCACTGACAGAGAGCTGGCCTCTGTGCCTGCAGCGGGCTGGACACTGCACCGAATCTGCGAGTCACAAAGGCTTGTCCTCAGCCAGGTCGTGGCGACTGGGGAAGGGCATGTCGCCGAGCTTCTCTGTGGCTCACTTAATTTGGGATATACTGATGCTACTGAGTATCTACCAAGTGGTGACAAGCTGGACTTTCAATTTCCAAATGCTTACCAAATTCCTACTATGTGCCAAGCACTGTTCCCAGAGTTCTGAGGCTAAGAGTGAACAAAAACAATATGAAAAATATCACATCCAAACCAGTGCTTCTAAGGAATTTAACATGTGTTGGGACCATTGACATCTCCATTCTGTACCTTATTTCTCCGTTATAGATAGGGATATGCTTTGACACATATATTTAGCTCTCCTTAGCCTACTCGTCTCTGATAATTTATATTTAATACATTAACTAATATTCCAAACAAAGGCGCCACCAAGTCATTCCAAACCTTACCTTACCAACATTATGATGTCCATGCCAATAACGTACACCACACTCTGATCCCTACGGATTTCTTTGAAAACAACCTTCTACATGCACTTTCTTTTCTAAACTCACCAGCTGGTTTTCTTCACTCTCCCCCCAAGCCTGTCCGGCTCAGGGCACCAGCCCTTCTTTGGAAGCCACCTCGGTCAGGTTGGAAGCAGCCAGGTGGCTTGATCCATCACGGCTACTTCAACTAAGAACCCAACTCACCTCCCAACAGCTCTGACTTTGGAAGCAATCGATCGGACTGCCTCTGTGGTCACACCACCAGACGTGCCCAGAGGTTTGCTGAAACTTGGATACAGCTCTCAAGACAGCCTTGCTCTGGCTTCCAGGGTGAGGAGCGTTCTGGTTACGGTCACTCCTGTGCAGCTCACCTGTCCCCTCTCCAGTTCTGAGTCACCTCCATCTCTCTTTTCCTGCGCTTCGAGTGATCAACCCTGGATATCAAGTCTAACTTCCTGACCTCCAAAAAGCTTTGCTTTATTTCTACCAGGTGAAGTTTTCTAATGATGATGAACGTGACCTTTTCTGAATCTCTCACATCAGCCGCTCCTTTGCAGCTGTGTAAGGGAGCTGGGGCAGGGTGGGGGTGGGGGTGGGGTGTTCCATGGTGACCAGGATTGATGCACTTTTGTGTTCAGGGGTGGATGTGCACTACATATTCACATCTGTGACCCATAGGGACAAGCAGAGCCCACCTCTCAAAGGCAGGTGCCTCCTCATCCCTTCCCCTCCCTTCTCCACACAGGGACTGGAGTCTGTAGCTGAGACGTGGTTGGTTCTCTACTTCTGCAGATAAATACAACCCATGGGCGTGTGTGTGTGTGTGTGTGTGTGTGTGCACGCGCGGGTCCCATTTCTGCTCTGAAATGCTCACAACAAAAGGGTCTGGGCAACAGAGATGCATTTTCATTTCAAGATAAAAGCAAACAGACATTAAAGCTGACATGTTTCCGTTGCCTGTGATTAATACACACCGTCTGCATTTTGGCTCTTCCCACGTCTGTTGTCCTCCTTTCATTAGTCTGTTGGGAATTGAGCTTCACCTTGATGAATCTCCTCTGCAGAGAACCTCATAAAGGGACCGGAGAGCGGCACAGGGCTGGGGTCACTAACAGATCAAGGCTCGCTCAGTCGGGGCGCCGCCCACGGCGAAAGAGCCGAGCAAGGGGCCCATCGAGGCCCATCCACGCTTGCTCCTTGCTTAGGGGCTCCTTGGCCTGGTGGTAGCAGGGAGGGGTCATTCTCTCAACACCCCACTCCTGTTCTCTTCCCACTTGTCAGGCAGGAGTGTTAGCCTCCATCCACTTTACTCCACCCGCCTCCATCTGATTTTATCAAGGACTCGACTTCTACGCTGAGAGAAAAGGGGAAGGAGTCTTTCTCCCTTGGAGCACCCTAATTTTTCAAGCCCTGTCCATTCACTGAGGTGGAGCGATCTCTGGCATTCCACGTATGCCGGCGTTTACTGAGCACATGCTATGGTCCGGGTGCCGTGTTAGACACCCAGGGGGTGTGACGTAGAAGTCAGTCTTCTTGCCTCGAGGAAGGGGCCTGGGCAACAGAGGGGGCAGGAGTTGGGGAGCCAGACTCGCCTCAGACAACCGTGAGCTCCAGGACCCTCGTCAGACCCCCTCAGGTGCCTGGGCGGTAAGGACGGATGTGGTTCCACTTCGTTCAACTGAACATTTTCATGGAGTAGGGCCCGCCTCCAGAGCTGGCCCCTCGGTGGTCCAGAGGTACCCGCTCTTCTCTGCTCCTTGCAAAGGGAGGAACTCGCTGGCGTTGGGACTTGGCTCTCTGCACATTTCTGACAAACGTACACCGCTGGCGTGGTCTGTCAAGGACACACCATGCAGGTCTCGCCTGTGCCCAGCCTTCCGGGGAACGTCCTCTCATCCTGCCTCACTCCCCCTGGCGTCCGGGCTGGGCCTGAGCTCCGCCCTCCGGCCACTCCTCTCCGTTCCACCTGCCGACACGGGTCCGGGCCTGCCTACCGGAACGAGCCCGTCCTGCTCCAGGAGCACCGGACTCTCCATCAGCCGCCCGACAACCAGCCCTGTCCTTTCGTCCCCCGGCAGGCTTTCTGCACTGAGTGACCAACTCGGAGACACGCACACTTCCTTAAGGTCTTGGAGAAACATGTCTCTCTAGAGAATCACAGAGACGCCAGGCTGCAAGAAGAAGCTCTTCTGGATCCAAGTGGCAGGAAGAAGCCCTCCACCCCCCACCCGGCTTCCCCAGGCTCTCCCGCCGGCCAGCAACTGGCCAGCCCTCTGTCTGAGTCAGCATACCCTAACCTGTGGGAGACGAGTTCGTCTCGATAGGGGCCTACTCCAAGGCCATGGGCCTGGGCTCGTTCCCAGCCCCCCCCCCTTTTCCAGTTCTCCCACTCCGAGGCCCAGCACCCCCGTCCTCTGACTCCCAGTCTCAGAAATCCTCATCTGAGGAAGCTTCTACACCCAAGTTAGTTGTTAATAACGGATAGAGCGCCGACCAGTCCTCCCAAAGGTTTGTGGGTCTTCGTAGTTCAAGTCGTAAATAAAAAAACTAAATCAATAATTGGTGGACCTCAGGCATCTGGCAATGGGAAAAAGAGCATTGGTCTTAGAAATGCAAGGGCCAAGACAGATGGTCTGTAGGGAAGGTTGCATGATTGTTTTTGATTTTTGTTATCTGCTTTCAGTAACATCCAGAAAGAGTTACTGCTCTTCCAAGAAAAGCCATTATTTCCCATCTGATTTAGTGCCGGATTATGCCGCTGTGTGTCCCAGTCCTATCCCCCAGGAGCAGCGCTGCACGCACCTGCAGTGTCCTTCTGTGACCACGTCCACCGTCTGCCAGGCCCCGTGTCTCCGCCCGCACCGAGGCTGGTTCTCCTGGTGATGCAGGGTCATTGCTGCGGTGTCACTGTTTTCCCCTAAAGAACAGCCTTTGAGCAGGGACCTGGATGGAGGCTCCTAGGGATGGGTGACCTCAATACAGCCTCTCCAGGATGAAAGGGGCCAGGCCTGCAGGAATGGGTCCTGCCCTAGGGGCTAGGACCAGGGTTCTCTGAGCCCACTGCCTCAGGGAGCGAGGACTGGGGCCTGGCGGGCCCCTCTCCTCACTACGCTAGTGGTTGATTATTTTATCTTGCTAACAGTCATCTCTTCCCAAAGCCAGCTCAAGTCAGTCTCCTCATGGTTCTCAAACCTTAGTGGGCATTAGGGTCGGAGAGCTCACTAACACATGGGTGGCTGGGCCCACCCCGGAGTGTCTGGCGCGGTAGGTCTTGGGTGCGGCCTGGGAATTTGCATCGCTCACTCGATGTCGGGATGAGGAGGCTGCTAGTGCAGACCTGCACCTCGAGAACCGCTGCTCCCCAGGGTCAGGTGTGGACCCTCAGCAGGCCTCGGGAGTCTGGTCCTTTCCCCTCTCCAGCGACGACGTGGGGTCTTCGAGGGGCTCCTCCGCCTCAGGCTGCTGCATGGCCTTGGGCCTGGGCTCAGGCTATCCCTGTACCTGGGTCGCTCTTCTTAACTTCCGAGGTCTGGCTGCCTGCTGTTGACCTTCAGAACTCCCTCTGGCCCAGTGGGCAGGATGACCGGTGCTCATCTGCAGGTGGCCTGTCAGACCGGGCGGAATTGAGAAACAGAGGGAAGCGTGGCCGGCTTCCCGGAGACACCTCAGCCGGCCCAGGACGTGAGTCAGGGCTCCCAGAATTACACCGACCCCCCGACAGGGTGGAGAATGGCCGCAGCAAGTTATCCCACCTTGCCCAACCCTCAGCTTCTGTCCCCAGTGTCCTGACTCCTCATGGACAGCATCTAACTCTGCAGAGCGCGAAAGGCCATGGGCAGGGAGGTCCTACTCTTCCTCCCTTCCCTGGTTCCTGGCACCGGGCCTGGCACACAACGGGTGCTCAGCGAGAATTTGCTTCATGACATGGAACAAAGCTGCAAACAGAACCCAGCACTGAAGGCACACAGGCAATGTCGGCTAGCTCTGAGGGGCTGGCGGAGGTGACTTCTGTCTCTTCTTGTGTCCCTGGCATAGTCAAACTGGCTTCGAATCCACAGCCCCCGGAAAGCCAACTCTCCTTTCCAGCTGGCGCCGAAAGGAAAACTAGAGCAAGAGCTACAAAGCAGGTGCAGAATAAATCTATAAAGGAAAGCAAATAGAGACAGGGAGCTGAAGGTGCTGGGGCAGACTTCAAAACGTTCATTGCTCATTTCCTTTGCCTGCGGCTGGACAAGGGAAAATGGTCACATGAAAATTAAATTGTGCCATGGGCTTTGGCTTGTCAGCCTCGATAAATGTCGGATGCGGATAGAGAACCGTGTACCATCAGTAAGCCCACCAGAGTGCACTGCAGGAGGCTTGGAGCATCTCCCGAAGGCCCGAGAGGGATCTTACCTAAAAAGCATCTACTCTGCACTGGTCACTTCTTTCAAAGAATTAGACCCGCTCCCTCACTGTTTTGAAAAAGTGGTGTGGTTAATTTAAATGAGAGATGGTTAAGCAGAAGTCCTCGTTTTCTGCCTCTTGCTAATATTGAACCATCAAGCCAAGAAGACTGTTATTTTGAAGTGTGCTGGGTCGGGCTTTCTACTGATTACATCACTATTGATTCAAACAGTCACAAGTGTTTAGAATCATTTTTAGAGTGAAGGCATGAGCTGGCTGAAATGGAAATCAGTCTGAGATAATGAACACGCCTGCTTAGAAATCAGGATCGGATCTGCTGAGTCGTGCAGAGACGCCTGGGAGTTGGCCCTCAGCTCAGTGGGTTCTGCTCAGGGCCAGTCAGTGCTTGGACCCAGGGCCTTCGTCTCAAATGCTCGCCTGCATTTGAGTCAGCTCAACAAGTAACGAGTGTTTTTTGCTTTTGTTTTCCTCCGAACACAGACTTTTAAAACAGCTGAATTAAAGACTGTGGTGGTGTCTGTTGTTCATTTTGGAGACAAAGGCATCTGGGTAGTTGAAGGGAGGGTCTAAGAAAGAGATTTGCTTTCTCTGAGCAGACAGAGGGTTGCTTTCCACGCACACAGGGTAGGAGTGTGCAAACTATGACCCAGGGCCACGTCTGGCTGGCTGGCACTTTTTACATGGCCCCTGGGCTCAGGAAGTTTTCCCCATTTAAATGGTTGAAAATCACAATCGAAAGAGTAATAAAGTTTCATGACATGTGAAAAGAATATGAATTCAAATTTGGTGTTTGGAGTGTTCATAAATAAAGTTATTTTGGAGTGTAGCCATGTTCATGGGTGTAAGTAACGTCTGTGGCTGGTTCTGTGCTGCAAGGACACAGCGGAATGCTTGCGGCGGAGACCATAGGCCTGCAAAGCCCCAAATATTTACTATCGGCTCTTTGCAGGAAGGTTTGCTGAGCCCTGCCGTGTGCACAGGCCTGAAGAGCGCTGCTTCCCACGGGGGCCTCTCCCCGCAGGGCCCGTATCCACCATGTACAGGCCTCGCTACGTGCAGAGGTTTGTGGCCTGAGCCTGCTGGACAGCGCTGAGCACGTTCAGGACGGCGGTAGTGAAAGAGGTCTCACTGAAGTCACATTTTGTATCTAGATGGATTGGGGCTTTGGTCAGATTTTTAGCATTTGATTACACCTACGAGAATATGCTTTTAGCATTCTTTAAGAAGGCGGCCAGCTCGTTGATTGCTTTACTCCACTAGGGCAGCTCCTTCTGTGCTGGCCTTTCCGACTCAACCTCTTCTTCCCCCTCCTCCCTGTCACCCGCGTCACTGGAGAGGTGTCAGCCTATGTTTTCAAGGTCCTGAGAGCAGGGTCTGACCGTGCACTCGGAAAGACAAGCAACGGTCTGGCCTCTGGCCGCACCGGTCAGCTGTTCCCCCTGGGCTCAAGTCTGCATCTGCCACTGTTGACATCTGGATGAGAGGTCACAGTGTGGCCAGGTCATCGGGGAGTTTGACTCCCAGATGCCAGCACATGGAGCCTGGAACATGCTGGGCTGATTCATGACCTTTTCCACCTGTGGTAGAACATCTGGTGGAGGGCGAGTGCCCTGACTCACCGCTCACCTGGGCGATCCCTGAAGCGCCTGTTACTTTTACATAACCACCCTCCCTGGTCCCACCATGGTGATGAGCAGGGCGTTGGGAACATTGACCCAGCAGCACCATTTCAAGTGCCTCCTCTCTGAACTGGCATGCAGTGCGACCCTTCCCGGCAGGGGTTGGCAGAGGGCTCTGACGACCCGGCCCGTTGTTTCTCTGCATATAATCCAGGCCCAGCTCTGCTGCCCTCGCCAAGCGCCGCTTTCACGTGCTCCCTCCGCACAACCACGGGAAGATCTGACACACCCCAGCTGCTCCCTCAGCCACGAATGGGGGACGAGCCATCGGAGACGAGGGGATTGTGGGACCACAGTCCTGTGGATTTTCTCCTTGTGGACGTGCAGACGCAGCAGGGAGGGAAGGGCTGCCTGGATGGGAGAAGTCACACAGGTGTCTGTCTCCATCAGTGAATAGAAAACCCCAATGTCTGCCAGCATTGTTCCCTGAGGAGGGAAATAAGAGCACTGGTTGAGTTTGTGGCCGTGTCCCTCTCCTTCCTGTGACTTCTCTCCCTCTCTCTGTACTTGTCCCTCGTATCATGTCCATGCCCCTTTGTTTTGCTCTGAAACCGTCACGTCCTCTAGGGGAGAGGCTTATCTTATGCACCCTCATTCCCTCCCCACAGCTTCTGGGTGAGCGCTTGGCACATAGTAGGTCCCCTGCATTAGCTGCATAAACATGAACATGCGTAGAATCGGGGTGGTGGGCACTGGACCAGGCGTGGCAAGCGGGAAGTCCAGTCTTGACTCTCTCTCCGATTTACTCTGAGCAAGATGTTTGAATCTCTGAACCTCAGTTTACTCATACTGGAATGTGCCTGACAACAGATGTTCCAGCTACCTCACGGGCTCACTGTGCGGCTCAAAGGAAGGAACAGATGCAACAAACACTGTAGGCGACAGAAAGAGCTGCATAAGGTAGTTTTCTGGACTCAGGAGGCTGCAAAGGCTTATCGTGGGTCCTCACTGGGTGAAGGTCAGACTAGAGGACATTGACAGTGGTCCCTTTATAAGCTCTGTTTCGATGACACGGGGGCTAGAATGAACAGATTCTGAACTTTCTTTTGAATCTGAATGCCACTGTAGCTAGGGACCAGCTCCGTGCCTGCGTTGAGCCAAAATGAAATGGGATGGAGGAGACTGGGAAGACAGGGACAGATCACACACGCTGAGGACAAAGCCTGAGACGTCCGAGCCACCTGGAAGTCTGATAACGCCCCTAATTCTCGCCTGCTATTCTCTTGGCCACCAAAGATTGCAGACCGGTTACTATAGCAACAATTCTCCCCATGAGGTGTCCATGTTAGGAAGGAGATGGAAAAGATTTCCTTATTAAAAAAAAGAAGAAATAAATAAATTTGGTTTCAGATATATTTGCCCTCCACCCAAAGTGTTGTTCCTTTTATGAGAAAAAAGCAGCAGCTGTTATCACCAATGTGTCTAATTCCCAGCAGTTAAATTTGCAAACTTTCATTTTAGACTTGATGCCGTTCACACTTGTTCTAATACATCTAAGAGGGATGCATTTCCTTCAGAGGCAAACCAGCGTGAAATAGGGGACTGGATCGTAAGACCAGGTGGCGAGAGCCTTGTCCCCCGGGGCTGCCCTCTGGCCTGGGTGGACCGGGCCACCCTGTGTCCCAGATCTGCGCCCACCATGAAGCCCAGCAGTGTCTCCTCATCAGCCCTTCCTTCTGACCTGTGGCTGCAGGCCTTTTGCAGCTGTCGCCCGGGGCAGTGCCTGTGTGGAGTGTTCCTGGGTCCAGTGGCTTCATGGGGCAGGAGCCCCCCACAGGGAAGCCATGTGGGTCTCAGCGGCTGCTCAGGCAGGTAGACTCCTGTAGCTTTGGCTGGGGACCAGGTCCTGCTGTGGTTCGGGTTTTGGACTTTTCATATAAGCTTCTATTGCCTCAGAAAGGTCAAAGGGAAAGGCTCTCCAATCTGGGGAGTGTGTGCATGCGTACATGAGTGTGTGAACCTCTCCCTGTGAACTTGATTTGGCCTCAACAAGGCCTTGCCTTTAGAGTTGAGGACCAGATCTCAGGTGTGTGAAGTCCAGCCACCCTGCCTGAAAGAAGCCACCTGGCGTCAGGTAAGGAGAACCTGCTGGTCTGTGAGGAGAGACGACTGAGTCAGGTGCACACACCGTGAGTTGGAACCCAAGGGCCTTGGGGACACGGAGCCCAGGGAGGTGACTGAAATAAAACCTGACCTTCTGCCCTGCAGAGAAGAGCAAAGGCAGAACCGTGCGACTGGCTGACAGGACGCTGGGGGAGCCCAGGGCAGAAGAAGTGGGGACCGCAGGACAAAGTCCACCCTGAAGTCCCCACTGAGGATGATGCTGGGCTTCTTGGAACCAGCCGAGGGCCGGGACACGGGGGTGCCCAAGGCATGAGAGGCAGGTTCCGGGAGGCTGGGGAAGGTCTGCCCAGAGTCATCAAAATCAGAGGCGATGGTGATAGACTCACAGACATCAGGTGTGGCTTACAAAAGGGACAGGTGGGTGGGCGCAGACAGCGGGCACTAGTAGGGGAGGGTGGAGTCGTCCCACTCCAGCTGGGCTTGCCTGGCTCCACTCTGCCCATGTCTGCCCCGGCCCGTCCCCTCCTCCACCTCCTCCTCGTCGCTGTCGTCTGAGTCGCTGCTGCTGGAGCTTATGTCTTCTTCCACTTCCTCCTCCTCCTCCTCAGTTTCATCCTCGCCACGCCCTGGCGCTTCGTGCTTCTGCGTGTCAGAAAGAGAGGGGAGTGCTCGTCAGGGCTGCGGAGAGGCCACTTCAGGGCTCGTACTTCTCCCGCCACCAGGGGAACATTTCGGGCCCCTTGGAATTCCTTCCTCTTAATGCTAAACCCTTGGGCCCGGAAGGGAGGTCCCCTGGTGGAAGGTAAATCAGAAGATCGAGGACAAAGACTAGAAAGAGCAGCAAATTCTAAGGTACAGATTCAAGGTAGGACGTGCTTTAGACCCTGGACGTTTAAGCCAGTTCCCTGGTCGCTCAGCGAGCCTTCAGGCCCGGCTGTGTTCTGGCATTACTGGAGCCCGCTGGTGCGAGCTCGCCAAGTCTTCAGGGTGTGCTTCCCAGCGGAGCGTGGCGGCTCAGCTCGTTCCCCTTCGCAGGAAAAGAGTGTCTCCGGGAGCAGGAGGTCTTCTAAGCCAAGACTCAGGTATGCTGCCCCTCAGAAACATTCCTCTGGGAAGGACACAGTTCAAGGTCCTCACTTGCCATGTCTGCCTCTCACCCCCTGACTCTACCCCACTTTTTTCTAGTCCCATCTCTACTCCCCCTAGTTTTTGTGATTCCAGCTGAATTTTTCTGGATGTATGTTTTGATGATCCAGCCATAAAAGATACGTGCCCTTCCCTGGCCCTGGCCCATCTCTGGAGTGTCTTCTCCAAATCCTACCCATTCTTCAAGGTCTCCCTTAAGCTCACCTCCTCCAAGAAGTCTTCCCTGAACACTCCAACCCCAACAGCTCTCCCTGCTCATGCTTCACTGACTGCTGGCATTACCAGGTTAGCCTTTGGCAGGCACACTGTGGCCTGGTACTGAGACTGCTCCAAGATTGGTGGTTGTTTCCCACACCCAAGGCTCAGCTCCTCAGGGGTGGAGACCTGGAGTCTCTAAGCGGTGGACCCACTGCCCACTGCACGTGCTGAGCCACACTGGCACATTGGCTTTGGGATCAGAGCAAGAGACCCGCCGAGGGGAAAATGGACAATCTTTCCATTTCTCGGTGACTCATCCTGGTCTTCCCTGCTCTATTCAGTACTCATGGGCAGACTAAAGGGCGTGACGTCATGGTGACCCTTGGTATCCACATGCCCAGAGCAAGAGCTTTGGACGTTCATGGGTGGATGCTGGGAGCCGCTAGTGAACGGCAAGATCTGGACTTTAGAATCCGGCCCCTGGAGCTGGAATGACGACAGAGCCACAGCCAGCTGTGTGAGTGCGGGCACTGGACTCCCCGCTCCGAGGTGGTTTCTGACCTGGTGGTGAGGACGATGACTCCCGCTTCGCAGGTTGCTGGGAGAGCAAATGAGATGCGCATACTGAGCATTGTGCACAGTGCATAATGGGGGCTCGATAAATGGCAGCTGTTAATGTTGTATTTCTGTTTTAACCTGTTCTGAGCCTTTAAATGCACTCTGCAGGCGGTATGGAGCAAAGCCATCTAAATTACACTGCTAATTAATCAAAACCTCAATACTGAGTCCCTACGTGTTAGCTCCCAGCTAAATACAGTGTGGGCGGCAGTGGACATATGCCACATGGCTGGCTGGCTGCTCGCCTTAAGAAATGTCTGGTTGTGTTTGTAGGGTGAGAGCGAGCCCCCCATTTTTAATCAGTGGGTGTAGTCAGTGAGAAAGGACAGTCCATGTGGGCTGAGAGGGCTGGAGGAGCTCAGAGAAGGGCGGGACCTGGGCTGGACGGGGCGGGGCTTCTGGCACAAGAAAGATAGGTCTGGGCGGAGGGGAGGCACCCCGTCGGAGCTCCTGCCGCGTGAGGATCACCTCCATGGGGTTGACTGTGATAGTGAGCGCAGAGTCATCCCAATCCATCTCGGCCTCCTTGGCAGCCTCGGTCTCCTGGGTGAAGTGCTGGTGGGCGATCCGGGCCCGGTACACACCCATGGCCACCACAAACACTAGCATGCACACGGAGATGATGATGACCACCGTGGAGATGCTGGGGACCACTGGAACGAGGAAGGAATCCGCGTGACATGGTGAGCACCATGGAGCGTGCACGAGACTTCCACGCCCAGGCTAGATGTGCCCTCCCACCTGCCAGCCGTAGAGCTCTGGTCGGCACCTTACTCTGTCGGGGCTCCATTCGTCCTCTCTACTGGACTTGACGACTCCTGCCCCACGGGCATGTGAGGAGCAAAGGAAATACTCTGTGTGAGCTTCCACATAGGCACGTAGGAGGCTCTAAATAAAAGCAAGTTCTTTTCTATCTCTTGTGTTTCCTCTCAAATTATAGGACAGCTCACCCCGAGAGGCAGGCACTGTGGGGTTTAGCAGGGACAGACACAGTGCCCAGCAGACAGTAATGCAGGGCAAGTGCAGGGACAGAAGTAGGGGTAGGGGCTTTGCAGTGTGGTGCACACGTGTGTGTGTGAGCATATGAAAGGGGTTCAAGGATGTGGCTTTGAGTTGGCTCTAAAAGGATTTGCAAGATTTTACCCCAGCCCTTTGTACTAACCTGTTATTATAGATCGTCTGTGACTTCCTGTTTGCCTGACTGGTTCCCACTGGGGCTGTGTGCGTGCCCCAGAGCCAGGGTGCACAGCTTCCCCTTTGTCCGGTCCCTCCCTCACTCCTGGGCACCTACGGCCGCTGCACCCCACATGTCTGTCTAGTGGATGGTCTTGAGTCACAAGGATCACCCCGTGTCCTGAGGTCCCTCCTGCCCGGTGACCTACCTGAACTGTGCTGGACGCTGACCCGGGACTCGGGGTGGTGGACGGACTGCAGGAAGGGAGGCTGCACGATAAGGTGGTTGACGTGCTCCTCGTCTGAGACTCTGACCTCATGGAGGACACTGACCTGGAAGAGCAGGGACAGGCGCTGTTGACGGGTGGCAGGGGCCAGTGGCATAGATGAGGGGAAGGATGCGTGGGCCCAGCTCCCCTCGCTACTGCAGGACTCGCTCACCTCCAGGTTGAACTCGTTGCTGCTGTAGCGTCCATTGAGCTCCGAGCACTTGATCCTGAACCGCCGGGCCTCCAGGGTGGCAGGGCGCCAGTGGCGGTAGCGGACGTGACGCAGCACCTGCTCGTAGCGGCTCATGGAGCCCACACCTGTCACGAGAGGGGCTGCAGCGGCTGGGGCGTGCGGGGCCCCTGACTGGCCGGGCTGAGGGCTTGAGGTGTTTAGGGGCAGACCACGTGCTGAAGCACAAGTTCTGAGGAGCTAACTGAACGGACGCACAGGGTTTCCAGACAGTGGGCTCTGGGCAGAATGTTTGGCCATGGTTTTCTAAATGTTGCTATCACATTTGTTTCTACAGGAGATGTCCTCAGGGGTGGGGATGGGGCCCAGGTTCTCGAGATGCCAGAGTAGCTCACCAACGGAGGGGCTAGAAGTCTGTGCTCTGAGGTCAAGGGTCCCCACCTGACACTACCTTCATAGGTGACAGAGAGCCATCACACTCCTGACACCCTGGGTGACGCCCTCGAAGAGGAGTGCACCCGGAGGAGGGGCCAAGTGTGGCTTACCGTAGATGGAGTAGCCCGCTGTGGAGTTGGTGGCATCGAGGTGTCGCTGGTGGAGCTCACTGTGGTTAAGCTCCAAGCACTCCTCTCTGGGGTCCAAGTCCCCTCCCAGCACCAGAATGTCACAGAAATCTAAGTTGTGGAGCATTTCTTCTAAGACTGCTGATTTGGGGGCTGTGGGAAGACCAACACATGGGAAACAAAGGCATGAGGACCTCTCAAGACGGTGGAGGAAGGTTGCAAATCATCTTCCTCCCCTGTGTCTGCACCCCAGGGAAGCTGGGTCAGCAGAAGAGGCTGTGATGGACGTCCAGACAGCCCCTGAGGGTGGGCAGCACGGATTCGTGTGAAGACGTGAATGCAGTAATCAAAAGACGAGAATTTGAACACCAGCGCTGCTCCTGTGCAGTGTTGCAGAAACTACCTTCCCCTCAACTGCCCCACCTGTAAAGAGGGCAAGAGTTTTGAGAGGCTAGAAATGTTGTCTGGCACATAGTAGGTGCTCAATAAACAATAGCTTTCATTTGAAGTCAGAGATAAGTGCCCCTGCACCCTGCTCGTGTCACCTTGCCGGTGTGGCCATGGAGTGTCCCTGCTGCTCCCGGTAGATTCTGAGGTTCTCGAGGGCAGAAGCACTTTTTATGGCCACGTTCTCAGTATTCAACCCAGGCCCTGGCACGGAGCAGTGTTACTACATGGCTCAAATGGGGCAAAACTGTTCATATAGTTGAATACTTAAGTAAATTGGTCCCTGATTGTTTTTTGGGGGCCCTAAATTTCCCCAAAGGATGTCTGAGCATTAGAATCCTGGGCAGGTCAGCAGAACTGACTTAAAAGCTCATTTTCAAATAAAAATGATTGGTGTTTATAAAGTGACTGCTAGGTGCCGGGCACTGGGCCAACGGGGTCCCGGCAGACAGGCCTCAGGGTGCGCACTATTATTATCCCATTTCACTGATGGGAAAACGGCAGGTCCAAGGGTGGGCTGCCCAGGACCACACCGCCCTGGGGAGGGGCGGCGACAGAAACCCTGACTTTTTGGTTCCCCAGTTTGTAAAATCCTCCCCTCTGGGCTGGTAGTCTCCACATGTTTTGATCTCGCAGTCTGTTCTTGGGAAATTTGTGGACTGAGATCATTGAAATATGTATACTTATTTACTCACGAATACGACTAATATACTTTGTGTGTTATACAATATTTACAAAAGTAGAAATTAAAAAAGATGTGCTAAGTATGAATTTTTGTATTTTAATTTTTTAGGGATAAATATTTTTTGCTCTCACTAGATAAATATAATCATAAACGCGTTCATATGCTTAATTGTTAAGTGCTTGCCAGTCTCAATGGCTTCATGTGTCACCGGCAAAATCTAAGAGCACGTTAATATACACTTAGGACGAGGTCTGTGGTTAACAATGGTGTGTGTCTCTGTTTCAGGTGGTCTTCCCGGTGTGCAGGCTGTTCCGCCGGCTTTGCGTCTGGTTGGGTCAGGGCATCCTGTCTCCTCCCTCCCGATGCGGCTGACGCCGGCTCTCCCAGGTAGGGGGCCGCTTCCTCGCTGTCCCCGCCCGCATTGTGAGTGGCATGTCCCTCTGCACTTCCCCCGATTCCCGCTGTGCTGATGGACTGCACTGGGTTCAGGGGCTTCGCGAGAATCGGCCATGGCCGAGCCCTCCTGGAGCTTCTGCTTGTGTTTAGTAAACAGAGAGCAGAAGTTGTGCGCTGGGGGTAGCACGCGCGGCTGGGGGTGTACAGAGCAGGAGACCTGAGCAGGCCAGGGGTCAGCGTGGCGGTGGAGGAAGCCTGGAGGAGGTATGGGAGGTAGAGATGCCTGCCAGCAACGAGGACAGGGAGCGAGAGGAACCTTCCAGGCAGAAGAAAGAGCAAGAGCAAAGGTGTGAACTGACACAGAGACTGTGTGAGAGGGGCGTTCATGGGACACGCCTGTCCCTTGTACTGAGCAGCACAAAGAGGGAGTCAAGGGGGCAGACGCCGCCGCTGGAGTGGGTCCTTTGGGCCTGGTGGCAAATGCCATTGGCCTGCTTGTTTAAGGCACCCGTACAAATGAGTATTCTAATAACAACAAGAGTAACGTTTTCAGAGTACTAATAATAGGTCTCGGGCACTTGGCCCTGTGCTGTGTGTACTTCTGTCACGAACAGCAGGTGAGACAGAGACCCAGACGGTCGCTTCTCCTTCATGCCTGTGTGTTGTTATCCGGCCTAGCAATCCCGCCGCTCTCCGCTATGGCCTGCGACCTCTGAGGTCACAGGCCCCTTTTCTGCCTGATTTTAGCACAGATGAGGGGAAGAGGAAAGATCACTCGACCTAATGCACCTTAGAGTGTAACTAAGAAAATGCCCTGCCCGGGAAGGTGGTACAACACCATCTGTTTTGTAAGCTAAGAAGGGCTGCTTGCCCAGCCCGTGTGGCTCAGTGGTTGAGCGTCGACCCCTGCACCAAGAGGTCGCTGGTTCGATTCCTGGCCAGGGCACATGCCCAGGTTGTGGACCAAATCTCTAGTGGGGTGTGGGGGTACGTAGGAGGTGGCTGGTCAATGTTCTCTCTCATCCGTGTTTCTATCTCCCCCTTTCCCTTCTTCTCTCTCTAAAATAAAAAATCAATAAGAAAAAAAAAAAAGGGGGTCTGCTTTGAAAGCCACCCCCACTGGCTAGGGAGCAGGGTGGTTTATGGCGATGGGTATTAGGATCACCATAGGAGTAGCCCCAGGGACTCGGGCCCATGGGTACCAGCACATCAGCAGCTGCTGTTGCAGGGGACTTGGAAGTATTCTCCTGGAGAAGGCAGCAGAGGACAGTTTCCAAACAGGTGTTTGCCCGAGATCCGGCCCAGGTTCCCTCCTCCCTCCTTTCCTTCTTTTCCCGGCCTCCCTCCGCCTCCCTCAAGCCAGCAGCATCTCCTGGAGCTTGCGTGCAGCTAAGTGTTTCTGCCCGGCAGATCATTCCAACCACTCAGCTCTCACTGAACAGCCCTCCCAGTAATGAGACCATTGGAAAGAGCAACTGGAAAGTTTCCTGAGAGCTCAGAGTAACACTGCTGAACAGGCTTTCATTGTGGATACATTAAGATGTGCTTCTTCTGATTACCAAACCAGCAACGCTCACTGGAGAACATTTTGCATTTGCAGAAAATTGATGGGGAGCAGAAACCAAGGGGCTCTCCAATTTCTCAGAGCAGGTCCCCGTGAGTCTAAGGGGAGTTTTCTTTTTGGTGTTTTCCTGTGTACTTTTCTCTTTATAGGGTTGAGATCAGCCTATGCGTAGAGACTCTGCAATCTGCATCTTGCTTTCTGTCACTTACCATTCAGCATCAGTGCCTTTCCTGCAACCACACAGCGCTTATCTGGGGTCCCATGGTTTGCTGAGCCGTTCATGCCCCTCCTGTTATTTATCTGGGTCATTTCCAGGTTGGTTTGCTCGGTTTGCTATTGTAAATACCTTGCTACGGGGAACCGTACTGTTGTCCTGAATGGTGATGTGATGTGGCTCTGAGAACCTAAGGCCCACTGCCCACAACCCAGGATGCACCTGTGGCCCTCAAGTCACCTGGGGCCTCGGCTTTGGTGAAGGTGCTCACGATCTTGATGTCGGGGAAGAGGACCACCCCTCTGGCACTTGCGAACTGGGCGGCGGGTCTCCAGAAGCGGTCAGTGCCACGGAGCGTGATCTGGGGCTCGATGGCCTGCAGCACCATCACGTAGGTGTCCAGGTCGGGGATGCTGATGCACACGTCTTCTCCAAAGCACCTGGAGAGCACAGCAAAGCCATCCGTCACGCGGCCACGCACAAGGCTGCACACAGCCACCTCTGGTCTTGACAAGGAAGCCCGACTGCCTAAGTCTCAAGGACGGCAACAGACATTGAAGTTTAAAGACACATTACAGTCAAAACGACCAGCAACCTAGGGACGTAAAAAGATTGACTCCTGGGAGAAATGGGAATTTTCTCTACCAGCAACAAGCAACCATTAAACCTTTAATTATCCTCTAATAAAGTAATCAATGGCAACGTTAATTAGACAGCGGCAGCTTGTTTTGTGCAGTAGGATTTGGTGAGCAAATTGTTGTCGAACTGGTTGGTTACAGCCATCTTACTAAGTGACACTGCTGGGCTGGCCTCTCCTGCACTGCCTGGGTGTCCTCTCTGCATGAGGACCTCACACCGGTGCGCCTGTCCCAGGGATGCCGGCGGAGCGCCGTTGTGGCCACGCTCCTTTGTCCTGAGACACTGCCACAAAATGTGCAGGGAGCAGAATGGTGTGTGACAAGAGCGAAGCCCAAGAAGTCAGATGGACAGGGTCCCTGGCCTGGCTCCGCCCATCCTGGGCTGGGTGACTCTGGGCAAGGTGCTCGACCCCTGTGAACCCGTTTCTTCATCTCTAGGATGGGAACGACAATAATGAGTGACCTTACAGAAGTACAAATTAAATGCAAACAAGAAGGAGACCCAGAGCCCGCGTCGTGGTCGGAGGTCAGTAAATGCTGACCGATTTGATGCTCTCATGAGACCTCGTCAAGCGTGTGTGTCTTTGGCACTCTCTGGTGGTCACCTAGGCCAAGCCCGAGGCTACGGTGGAGGACCCCAGGGTGCAGATGGATGCTCTGGGAGTACTGGGTGGGCTCCAGCTGGTGGCCGCCATCATTCTGCATCTCTTGGGAAAGTTCCCAAGGAAAGGGGAGGCTGGGCAGATCCCATGTGGAGCTATTCTATCTTCTTCTCTGGGTGGGTGAGGTGTGGGAATGGTGGTGGGTTCCCATTCCCAGTTTTCTTTGGCCTTCGCTGTTCAACCCCACAATTTACAGAGGAGACCCTGCCCCTCACCAGTTCATGGATGTCTGGTCTCTGAGCCGGAGACTGCCAGTCTGGTCCCTCTCCTTCCCGCAATGTGAAGCCGACCTGGAGGAGCCTGCTCCCTACCCAGGGAGGGCCTTAGGGTGGGTGGGGGTGCCGCTCCTCTATCAGTAGCGCCATTGACTGTAATTTCTGTCTATGGGCTTTATGCAGGCACCTGTCTCAGACCCCAGCAATGGGCAGTCAGCAAACTCATACTTCCCACCCTTGGTCCTGTCCTTCTGGGCCCTTCTCTTGGCTCCAGGTGATACCCTTCCCCCTCCCAGGAGTTTTCCTGGGGTTCTCTCCTTAGCTCCCCCCCCAGGCAGCTGCCATGGCTGAGAAGTGAGTGGATAGGTGAGTAAGGTAGTTATCCACAAGCTTCAGTAACAGCCTCATGCCCTTAAATGAACTCTGCTCCCTGGAGATAATACATGCCTTCTCTTCTTCTTGGATCGGTTAAACACCTACTACGTACCAGGCACTGTGTCCCTAAATCACACCACTTAAAACCCAGCTCTCTGAGAATGTACAGAAAACAGTGTCTTCTGGGCATTAAAGCGGATACAGAAGAAAACGAGGAAGCTGGATTTGAGTTGGTGAAACAACAGAATATTTTCTTTAAGAAAACAGGACGATAAAGATCTACTGGGGTGTCCTCATAGGGACAGCACAGAAGCCGGACAGGACTGAGGAGGGGTGACCCTTGTTTTGCCAGGGGACCATCCCCGCTGCCTCAGCGGGCCCAGGCTGACCGGCGCCCACTCACTGGACTTTGGAAGAGACTTTGAGGCGTCGCACTCCTGCGGTCGGGAACTGCCTGGAGTTGATGTAGGAGACCTTCTGCAGCGCATGGTTGATGTTCCCGATGTCGTCACCTTCCATCACCAGCACGGACTGAGAGGGGTTGAAGTGATACTGGAAAATAGCAGGGGGTATCACAGGAGAGAGTGACCAGCAATGCACCCCGTCCCTTGGAGACCCTCCATCCCCACCAACAGGCTGCAAAGGACCTCGCAGGCGTCTCCAAAGCCTCTGCACGGCAGCAGCTGTGCGCCCAGACGACTCTTTCAACCCCCAAGCAATCCCTGCTGCCCCCTGGTGGGCTTCAGGGCCCTCCCCTCTTAGGTCCCCGGGGATCATAAACACCCACAGGGTGAATTCTGAACTCCTAGGCACGGTGCTCTTGCAGCTCCGTCCTCCATGGCTGGCCCATGCTCTGTGCCACTGTGGGGCCCGTGGACTCTTAGCCAAGGGCTGTTTGTCCCTCAGCCAGCAACCCAGAAATGTGGGGCTTCGGCTCCTTTCGCTGTTCTTGTCTGTGGTCTGGAACTGCTCTTCAGTTCACCCTGCACTCCGTTCCCTATCCCGTGCCTCATGGCCTTAGCTTCTAATCTTAAAGCTCACTATTGCCCTAGGTTTGTTCTCTCTTCACTGCACTCCGAGCCCCTGGAACCCCACAGGTGGTGCAGGCTCAGGGGCGACGATGTCCCTCACCGAGTCAAGGGGGTCCTCAGACTAGAGAAACCAGATACAGACTTCTGCTTCTCCACATACCTCCTACCAGTTACACTTCTTTGAATGGAACATGGAGAATGCCTTTTGTGCTGGTCTGAGTTAGTGATCTTGACATACTTCTGAGTAAGAATTATTGGGAACTGCTATTTTTTTTTAATCCTCACCTGAGGATATCTTCAGATAGAGCGGGAGGGAGAGAGAGAAGAAGAGAGAGAGAGAAACATCGATGTGAACGAGACACATCAACTGGTTGCCACCCACACGACCCCAATCGGGGCTGGGGACAAATTACAACTGAGGTACGTGCCCTTAGTGGGAACCGAACCCGGGACTCTCTGGTCCGCAGGCTGACGCTCTAACGGCTGAGCCAAACCGGCCAGGGCAGGAACTGCTATTACTAAGATGTCAGAAATCTGTCTGTGGATTCAGATTATGTATCCAATGCTCCTGTGACAGGAAAGTGAGGCATGAAATTACTTTTATGTACCTACTTGGCAACGATGATTTACTGTCGAATAGATAACATATCTACATGGTTCAGATGTACTATGTGCTCAGTGAAAGTGTTCATCTTCTTTCTATGTCCTACCCACCTGCCTTCTCCAATCTCACCCCACAGGTAATCACTGTTATACTAATCTCTTAGTGACAAATTCCATTCCTGTTCATAATTAGCTGCTTTCCCTCCTGGGGGACATGCCCGTTCTATTGTCAACAGGCTTGATCATGTCACTTACGGCACCCTTCCCTGCCAGATAGACATTTTGCCCCGTTGCACTCAGTAGTGATCATGTGACTTGCTTGGCCAACAAAATGTGGGGAGAGTATTGTTTGGTTGATACCCATGTGGAAGATTTAAGAGCCAGTTCACGGTTGGCTGGGTTGCTTTCCCTCTGCCGTGAAACTGCAAAGTTCCCTTAGGGTCTGTCCCTCAGCCTGGATCTCACTGTGAGGGTGCTATGAACAGAGCTGCCGCCCGGCTGTAAGGGACATGCAACGTGAACAATAAACTTCATTGTTACATAGCCACAAGAAATCGTAAGTCATGTGTTACTGCAGCACGACCTAGCCTATCCTGACAGTTAGACTTCAGCATTCTTATGAATATATAATCAATGAATATCCATTATTCTCCTTTCTTACACTGAAGGTAACTTCTTTACATAATATACATACTATACTATATCTTTGCCTTTTCACCCAGCTCATATCTTGGAGCTCTTTCAGTATCAGTACATAATAAGCTTCCTTATTCTTTTATACTGCAGCATAGTATTTTTAAATATTAAATAAATTAATTTTTAACTATTCTTCTAATATGAGCATTTGGGTTGTCTTCAATCTCTTTCTAATAATGCCACAATGAATAGTCCAGCACACATAACATTTTTTAAGTATGCAAATATATCTGTACAGTTATTCCTTACAAGTGAAATTGCTAGATCAAAACACATGCATTTAAAATGTTGACAAATGTTGCCGAATCCCCCACGGCTAGGGATTCTATCAATATCCACTCCTTCTCATGGTACATGAGAACGTCTCTCTTCTCAAAGCCTCAACAACAGAGCACGCTGTCAGACCTTGGAATTTTTGCCAGTCTGATAGGTGATACATACCATCGTAGTGTTGTTAAATTTGCATTTCTCTTACCGCGAAGGAGACTGAGTAGGCTTTCGTGGGCTTAGGGGAAAAAAATCTATCTATTTGAGCTTTTGCCTGATATGACTTGCATGTCCATGAGAGTTCCTAGTTCTGTGCCTGGACCCTAACAGGAGGTGGATGTCTCATGAACACTCTGGTGACACTGTGGCCTTTAGCCAGCTGAAAGCTTAACCTCTGTCTCCTTCAATTACCATGTGAATGTGTCCTTGTCCCCTCCTTGAGGCTTCCTCATCTTCCCTCATTTAGGTCCCCGTGGGCCCGTATAGGGCTCAGGGAACAGCAGTGTGATGATTACAGTGCAGTGACCATGAGCTCCGTGAATCCCAGTCCTAGCACCTGGTGAGCCCCGTTAGATGAAGAGTGAATGGTCCCCCCACAGCCTTCATTTCGCTCAGTAGCATCTCCTCTGACTCCCCGAAGGGACCCTTCTTTTGCAGTCACTTGTCTTTCCAGGCAAGCCTCTGTGGGGGTCATTATCATGGCTCCTCAGACCCTGTTCTTTCCTTCCAGGGCATCCTGCAGACTGCACTTGCCAGCTGCCTGGACCGCTCCGGCAGGGCCATGTGACTGCAGCTGGCCAATGAGATGCGAGAGGAAGCAATACAGAAGGTCTGGGCCGAGCAGCACAGTGCCTGCAGGATGCTCCAGCCGATCTCTTCCTCTGCTCTGGTGGCTTGTGGCGTTCTAGGCAGAAACCCCACTCCACCTCCCGACGCAGTGTGAGAGAGACCTTTACGCACCAAGTCATAGAGATTTTGGAGTAATTTGCTACTGCAATCAGTGAGCCCCTTGGAGGACCTCCGCCCTCCAGGCACGGCCCTCCCGTCCTCAGGGCTCTGTGGCATCCCTGGAGGATGATGGGCTGTGCCGCGACCACCCCCAGTTCCAGTGCCAACTGCAGACGGAGTGCAACGTCGGACTTTCTGGACTTTACTTCCTCATTTAAAATAATGAGGGTATTAATATCGACCTGTCTGGGGCTTAAATGAGATAACACATATAAAGTGTCAATTATGGTAGCTTTTGTCACAATTCTTAATATTGTCATTATTTCCACATTGAGTCTTTGCCTGTGCTGGTTTCCCAGCCTTCGCTGCTTGTCTGTCCTCAGACCAAGCTCCCTCCTGTTCTGAAAGCCCTGAGCAGGGTCTCTCCGAGCTGTGACGTCTGGTCACAAGTGCCACTGCCTGTGTGGTGACGCTGCCCTCGGCCCCGGTGCTTCTCTCTTGTCCTGATGACTCACTGGCTGCCCTGCACTGGTGAGTCACTGGACAGTTGTTCTTTTTTTATTTTATTGATTTTACAGAAAGAAAAAGAGGGAGAAAGAGCTAGAAACATCGATGAGAGAGAGCATCGATTGGCCATCTCCTGCATGCCCCCCACTGGGGATTTAGCCCACAACCTGGGCATGTGTCCTGACCGAGAATTGAACCAGCAACCTCTTGGTGCATGGGTCAACACTCAACCACTGAGCCACACCGGTTGGGCGACAGTAGTTCTGAGTGTTCACGAATCACCAGATTCAGATTTAGGCAGATTCAAGGTCATTCTTCTAAAAATATCACTTAACAGTCCTGGCCAGTGTGGCTCTGTGATTAGAGCATCTCTCCCCCATTTCTTCCACCAAAGGGTTTCGGGTTATATTTCTAGTCAAGGGCTTGTACCTGGGTTGCAGGTTCAATCCCCAGTCAGGGCACCTGAGGGAGGCAACCAATTGATGTGCATCTCTCACATTGATGTTTCTCTCTTTCTCTCTCTCTCTTTTCCTCTCTCTTCCTTTCTTCTAATCTCTCCAAAAATAAAATAAATTTAAAAAAATCCTTAGATGAGGATTAACAACAACAACAAAAAAGATTATTAAAAACACCACGTATGTTCTGACAGGTTTTTCTGCCCCATCACCATCCCTACTAATAGTATAGTAGAGTTGCCGTCTGTCTGTCTGTCTGCTGCCCCCAGTGGGCTGTGCACACGGCAAGGGGAGGGTCTACTGGCTTTTTGCAGCATCAGTATAGGGTCTAGCACATGACAGGCATGAAGCGAGGTGATGACCCCTGCAGAGGAGGCTGATCTCTGAGCCCCGCCTCAGGGCTGAGCCGGAAAACCAAGCAGTTCTTCCGGGGGGTGGATCGGCTGCCACCCGTGGCAGCCCCACTCCCACGGCACCGCGGCGGGGAGGACGGGAGGGAGTGTGCTGCAGCTCCAGTTAAGGCCCTCGTCTGGCTGCCAGAGCATCCCAAGGACGCCGCAGGGCCTAGCCACCAACACCGGCCTTGCAGGATCAACAAAGCAGTTTTGTTTGTTTTTTAAGTCGCAATGTTCACAGCCCTGTCATGACTGAGGGGTGGTCTCTACTTGTGTGGGATGTAGGGTGATATTGGCATTACTCAGGGGCAGATGATGGCTTCCTGGGGACCCAGCAAAGGGTGACAGTGTTCACTCTCCCCTGGGAGCTGTGCTGTAGCCATGGTGATTCCTTTCTTCTAGCCAAGGAACTGCTAGACGGAAGGCCTCTGCAGAGTGGTCGGCTCAGAGGGCTGGCCTGTGTCACCAGCCACGTAGCCGGCTGGGGCATGGGTGAAATCCTGTTCTCTGAGGATGGGCTGGCCGTGGCAGTCCGGGCACCGTGCGTTATCCCCTTGGGCACCTGCCAGCCTCTCTGGGCCGGGCCAGAAGATTTGCCACGTTAGAGGCTCCGCTGAGACGACCCTCACCCAGGCGGCGGCACCACATGCAGAGCCGGCCCAGCCGCAGGAGGAGATGGATTTTGTTGAGAGCCTACTTATTAGGTGTGCTAGGGGAGAGCTATATCTGCATCTATGTCTGTGTCTCCATCTGTGTCGGCATCTACATCTATTTCTCACCTGTATGTTTATCTTTGCTATATCGGATATATAAATATATATGAAGATATACATAACATTCCATTCTTGCAACATCTCGGCAAAATATTTAGTCCATTTTTACATGAGGGGAGTGGGGCTTAAAGGACAGAGTCCCTTGCCAAGGTCACCCTGCTAGTAAATATCCGCAGTGTGATTTGAACCCAGGACTGTCTCGTCCCAAAGCTCCGCTCTTCCCCACTGTCCCGCGTGGTGCCGGCGACAGACTGCAGGGACGCTGCTCTGGACCTCAGAACAGGGAATTCTTCGGGAATGTGGCTGCTCCACAGAGTCGTGCGTGGAGACGAGACAGTGACCACCGACTGCTTAATGACACACATGCTGGAGAGATGTCCAGACATGGGCGTGGTCCGGGGAGAACAAGTGAAAAGGAGAAGCCGAGCTGGGCCCTGTGAGCCCACAGGGACTTCCCTGAATCACAGAGGACCTCCTGCTTTCATGAACCAGAGAGGAGGGAGGGCCTGGGACTATAAAGAAAACAGCAGTCACTACTCAGAAACAAAATGAGGGCTACATGGAGGGGGGGCAGGCAGGCAGGCCGTTTTAATAATTTTAAGAAAGCTTTCTAATCTGAGTTTGGACAAGTCCTTGAGCCCCACTCTCCTTACTTCTGAAATGGGGTCATACTATTTAATTTGTTGTGAGGAGTAGGGATAAGGCACATGAACAGCCCCGGTGGGTGCACTGTAAACTGTCTCCTCATTAACTTCTCACACGGTGCTGCAGTTCTCGCTGGCTGCGCCCTAAAGCGTGGAAGCCTCCTTTGCACGGAGCGGTTATGAGCAGGTAGAATTCTGAGCAGTCAGGTTAGCCCCTCAGGCCCCCGGACTTTGTGTCACTTGGTTTAGTGCCCCCTCTTCCACAGGCAGTGACTGCTACGGGACATCATGGTGGTTCTCAATGCACACGTCGAGGATGTGTGTTTTAAGTTCAGCGTCTCTGCTTCATTTGTCCTGTAGTACTTGGGATCTGGAAACTGCACCCCCACAGGATGACCCGCTGCAGAGAGGACCCACTGGGTGGCGGGGAGCAATCCAGAGTCAGACAGAGAGGGGAGGGTTGGAGGACCGAGTTCTGCATCGCTGACCTGACAAAACACTAAGGAAACCACCGCAGGTCGAGGGTCAAACCCAGGCTCTGCTCATGAAGACATCTGTGTGAACTGTGGGTGAGCAGCTTGCCTGGAGCAGCTGCCAGGGAGCAGACTTCCCTGCACAACAGGCAGTCCTGTGAGCGTCCTTCAATGACGGGTGATTAGCTATCGAAGCACCCGTGTGCGCGCGTTTGGGAGTGTGTGTACTTCGCGCACGTTAAGCCATGCTCTGGAGAGTCTCAGCCAGTGTGTGTTCTGCATGGCTCCCCTCTGACCCCGTCTCCGGGGCGAGCATCCTAAACCCCACACTGGCCCGGATCAGGCTCCCTGGTCTGGACTGCTTCCTGTTGCCGACAGAAAAACAGTGATCACCTAAACTTAATTTACAAGGCCCCATGACGTGGCCTGTGCCTGCCTCTCTGGTCACACTTTCTACCTCTGGTCTTGCGATTTGGGGACTTGTGACACTGGCCTTGGAGTCTCAGTGTGCACTGCAGGGTCCTCAGCCCTCTGCCCTCACTCAGGCTCCTGGTCCCCCTAGAGTGGCTGCCACCCTCTCCCCTGCTCCCCAGGCCTTTCTCCGGGTTGGTCCCTCCCCGTCCTGAAACTCTGCCCCCTCCCAGGAGCCTCCCCTAACTGCCCTTCCCCAGGCTCTGGACTCTGAAGGACTGCGCTCCTGAAGACCAAGGGCTCGGAACATTCGTCTTTGTGTCTGTACGCAGCCGAGAATGGAACACACGGGTGTCCGTGGAAGGTCTGCTGACCCACCCGTGACATAGACAACAGCAGGATGTGCTCAGATGGCTGGCCCCACAGCCCGCCACATGGCAGAGCGGCACCAGCCCCTGCCGCTTCAACAGAGGGAGAAGCAGGCCCAGGGCAGTGCAGGCCGGGTGGAGCCCTCCGCAGCCAGCACTGGGTGGGGGTGGGGGGGCTGGGAGCCCTCGGCTCTGGTCACACCCTCCTCGAGAAATGACTAAGAAGGGAAACTGCACAGCTTAATGGGCCTCAGGGGGCTGTCCTCTGCCCCCAGGGCAGAGGGAGGCCCACCCGCCTTCCAGAGAGGCTAAGGGGCTGCCTGCACTAATGGGGTCCCCTGTGACTGAGTGAGGGCTGCCAGGATGTTTATCCTGCTCTGTGCTCAGGACCCCAGAGCCTTCATGCTGAGACCCAGGCCAGGCCAGAGCCGTCCCTGACTGTCAGGGAGTCACCTGCTGAGGCTTAGTGGGCCACATCCTGCCCTCCCCTCCCCTCAGGAGGAGCTTTCTCAGAATGCGGCTTTGGTTCTCTTGGATTGTCCAAATGTTTGTTTTTTGCAAGTATGATCAAAATCGTGATTTTGTTTACATTCCCTTTGATGGCCAGAGATAGCTCGGAGCTCAGCCTGGGCCTCAACTAAGCAATGAGAGACCCTGCGATCTCCACATCTGTTTTCCAATTCTGCCCGCCAGGACTGACCTTCCTTTCTAATTTGTACCTTACATGGTCCAAACCTTTTATTTTAAAAAATATCTTTGAGTGTACTCCTGCCTGCTGCTTCAGTTACTTCAGGGAAATAAACAACAAAGCAAGCAAGCAAGCAACCAACCAACAGGTGAAATACAAGGCTCCCTGCAGGTGGACATTGAACACGTGCCCGCTCTGGGGTAGTGAGCTGAGGCTCCGTCCTCCAGGGCTTCACCTAGGAGCTTCAGGAGATGGCAGCAGGGGTCCGTCATGGAGTCACAGTCACTGATCTGTCCCCTGTGGCAGCACCTCTGCCATGACACCACTCTGTGCCACTGGGCAGGACGGGACTCCACCGCCCGAAGTGCACTGGCCCTGGGCAGCCTCCTTCTCATCAATCTTATTGGGGCGGTGCTGGCTCCTTCCTTACCTTTATTCCTTGGCCGAGGCTTTCCAGGGAGTTGAGATCCAGCCCTTCCTTGCAGGCCTGCAGGCAGGAAATCACCTTCTGACTCTCCATTTTCCCAGGGCGGATGGTGAGACTGGCCAGGCTGCCGTGGAAGAACTGGGCAAACCGCGGTTTGGTGACCTCTCCTCCTGAAAGTCAAGCAGCACTGTTATTTGCCCCGTGGAGGTGAGGCATGAAACACCGCTTCCAGGCACCTTGGCTGTGGAGCCGAGGACACGGTGACTGTGCCCCCTAAACCTGCACTCTTCCTTCCAGATGGTGAGCGTGGTGGCCAGATTCTCAGCAAGAGGACGTTATATGCCGCCAATACCTTGGCACTCCGAGTCGCACCTGATTCAGGAATCCTGGAGGTTCTGAATTTTAAAATAGTTCTTTCAGAGACACCAACTGTCTTAGAAGACAAAGGCCCCACAGAGTAGAAACAGGAAGGAGGGGGAATCTATCACTGATTAAAAGCCGGCTGGTGCCAGGCTGTGTGCTGGGGACGTGACCTGAGTCAGCCTGCAGAGAGGCATCATTGTTTCCAACTGACGCCCGAAGCACCTCGAGACTCAGGAAGGCTGGGGGACTTGCCCCAGCACACACGGCTGCCCCCTGGGGCTGGTACTCCAGTCCTGGCCTGTCTGACTCCAAAGCCCGCCTGTGCTCCCCCATGTTCCGCGGGCGGGCCCTGGAGGAATCCCAGAAACCCCACCCCGTGGGCGCTGGCCCTCTCGAAGTGAGTTTACCTCACATCAGCTCAAATTCAAGTTCCTTGGCTTAAAAGGACATCCTTGACTCGGTTCTACCTCTGACTTTCTTCTCCTGGCCTACTCCTGTTTTCTACTGTTCTCCACGGACTGAGCTGAGCCCTGTCTGAGCTGGGTCCGCTTCTCAGCATGTGAAAGTGTCTACTGTGGCTTGTGTTGCCACACCAGCCTGGAAGTTGCCTCCTTGTATTTTCTCCATGGTTTTCCAAATCGCCCCACCGCCCACCCCAAGGTCCACCTGAATCCTCCCCTCCACCGGGAGGCCTTCCCACTGACTTCTCTGAGCACAGACCCCTCCCACCTCCGGGCAGCCCGCTCCAACACCCTTGCCTTGATCTTGCTCTTCCATTTGCTCAGAGAAGCAGCAGAACATATAGAAAAGATGAGTTGGGGTCAAACTTCACCTCTGTAATTCCCTGAGAAGATCTGTAAGTGCCTGAGCCTCTGCTTGCTTGGAGGGGACACGCATGGGTTGTGCCTCCTGGTTCTCTGGGGCTCACTGGTGGGTCCTGCAGCCTCCCCAGGTCCCCTGGGCTCCTGCGATGCAGGGCCAGCTCCAGTGAGGCACCTCCCTGTGAACAACTCCCAACACCACAGGGAGCAGATCCCCGAAAAGTTTGGCCCCACAGACGCACAGCGACGTCTCTGCCCCCAGGGAGCGGCGCTGCACCAGCACAGTCAGGACCAGCCCTGGGGCAGAGGCACAGGGTCTCCTTTGGGCCCTAGCTCAGCCTGCGGGAGCGCACGCTCCTGACACCTGCATTCCCTTATTCCTGAGGGTCTCTCTGCTTCTTAGTAGCCAAGCCTTCACTCTTCCGATCCTATGTTTCAGTTCATAATTCCATTTTTCTGTTCAAATGACTGTAGTTTCTCTCTCCTGATTGGGTCTGAGCTGATACACCCTCTGTGTTTACACACACAGACCTTTGCTCACACACATCTCCCCTCAACTGAGATGCCACATCCAAACTGCAGAGCAGGCAAATCCACTGGTCCTTTACAGCCCCTTACGGCCCCCGACCCTGCTGCTCACAAAAACCCTTCATGAACGTGCCCTCCCCCTGCCCTCAGCCCCCTGCCCGCCGTGCCCTCCCCCTGCCCTCAGCCCCCTGCCCGCTGTGCCCTCCCCCTGCCCTCAGCCCCCTGCCCGCCGTGCCCTCCCCCTGCCCTCAGCCCCCTGCCCGCCGTGCCCTCCCCCTGCCCTCAGCCCCCTGCCCGCCGTGCCCTCCCCCTGCCCTCAGCCCCCTGCCCGCCGTGCCCTCCCCCTCCCTCAGCCCCCTGAGTCTGGGAACACTGACAGTTCATTTTAATGAACCCCTCACAGCCCAGCATTGATAGTTACTGGTTTATGTGTGTTTTATGTCTTCAATCCCCTATAAAGGTGGTTCTCAACCTTGACCGCACATTTTAATTATCTGGGGATCTTTAGAGAGACAAAGGAACCCTGGTGCTGAGTCCCCCCTCCCCCGAAGCTGAGACTAACTGGGTAGGGTTTCTTAAAGCCCTCAGGAGAGTCCAACAGGAAGTCAGGGTGATAGGTTTCTTGAGGGCGGGCCTTCTGCCAACTCCTATGGGTCGTCTTTCCTTGGCACCCGCGGCCTGCTCTGCCAGGGAAGACAATGCTGGCACGTGCCAGGGGCTGAGGGGTGCAACAGGCACTTTGCAGAAGTGGCTTATTTATTCCTCTCACCCCCATGGGGCCCCGCGTTTCGTTCCCACATCCTGCACTCTGGCCAGCACACGGCAGACGCGTCATCATGATCTGTGGAATTGCAGTTAAATGCCAGCGAAGGGGTGGGCACCGTGGCACCCCTCCAGCATCCGCCTCCCCCTTGCCCTCTTACGATGGCAGCCCTGAGGGCGGACGCTTGACTCCAGCTCTAGGGGCGGATTCTACTGAGTCCAAGCGAGTCAGCTTTTCCTGGCTTCATTGCTCCAGCAACTGAACCAGGCGGGGACTTGGACCCAGTACCAAGGTACAGCCAATCGGCACCTGGCATCCAATAAGCCATGGGTTTGACTCAGGAATAATTCTGAGACCAAATTGAGGCCAGTGGGATGCGAGGAGAAACTGACTGGCTCTGTCTGGGAAAAGAGCTTCCATTTGCCCTCCAGAAAGCTTCGCGAACCTGCTCTTGCTCTCTCCCCGAGAGCATTATGCGGAGATGGAAGGTAGGAGCTGCAGCAGCCCAGGGGCAACCAGGGCAACGGGAGGGCAGAGCTGGGAGAGCTGCAGGCAACCGCCACGGGGCATCCTCCACCGTGGGAGCCCATCATCCATCGTCATGGATTGAGCCATTTTGACTCACTCTGTCGTTCCTTTCCACCCACAGCATCTTCACTGTGGAAATGAAAGGAGAGGCTCCATTGTAGACCTCGGTCCACAGGAAGCTCTGAACAGATCTGGCTTTGAGCAGCGACCTGCCCTGCCCCTGGCCTGAGGGTGTGGGGAGCCGATTTGGGGCCTCTGTTCTAGGCCCTCAAAGCCCCCATGGATAACGTGCCCCTCAGACCCTGAGCAGGTTCCTGCTCTAGCAAAGGAAGCTCCTGTTGACCTGCAGGAGGAAGGGCGTGGGCCTGGGTGTGAAGAGCGGAGCTGCCACTCCCCAGGGCGTCCCGATGGCACTGGGTATGGACTATGTTTCTAACACCACGTGATATGTCATCTCATTGAATCTCCACCAAACTCCTGGGGGCGGGCACTTATTCTATAGTTACAGAGGAGCAAATTCAGGCCCAGGGAGAAGTGACCCAAGGCCACAAGAGTAGGAGGTGGTGAAGGGAGTGTCTTACAGGGTGAGTCTGTCCATCCATGCAGAGGACCAGCTGGGCCTCCTGGTGGTGCTGGCCAGCCCAGTCCGGTGGGGCTCAGACAGAACCCAGTCGCGCGTCATCTTCTCCACTCAGCTGCTCACTCGCAGCTCCATCTCTAAAGACGGAACTTTGCAGCCCTTTGGGATGCTCAGACCTTTCCCTACACACTGTTTTCTCCCGGCGAAGCATTCACGTTCTATACTTTTGACTCAGGAATCCCAGATCTGTGATGTACTCTCTTTATCAGTGATGCAGCTCCAGGAAATCAATTCAATTAGCATTTTGCAATAGGAGGGCAGCATAAAATTTGAAATATAGTTGCACTCAGGGGTTGTTGTGATGCAGGATTTTAAAATATAATGGATACACTGAAAATCTCTTTCTTTTTACTATGTAGCCCAGAGTGTCTGCATATACCACATGGCTCCTCTGTCAACATTTAGATATAAACATGCTCATGAATTATTTTAAGAAAAAAATAATAATAACCGGATTTCTAATATAAAGAACCTTCTCTGTATCTTTGTGAACACGATTTTGGATCCCCGAGGCCAGATCCACACATATTTTTACAGCATTTGTTTTGTGCCTTGCCTTCTGTCAGACTCAGTTAATTATAAGATGTGGACAAGGCTCTCCAGCAGCTTACATTTAGTTGGGAGAATGAAGTATAGAAACTGGGAAAATATAAAAGAGTTAGTTGCCAACACAATAGATGTTCCAAGGCAAAGCATGGCTACTTTTCAAACAAGTGATACAGAGGCTGTGGCCAACAGATCACGGGGAAAAAAGTAACAGGCCTCATTTACGAGGTCCTTAGAACATGGCGAGGTCTTTCATATTTCATCCTTACATGGTAAGATAGTTCTTTTGAGATCTGAGCCTCTGTTCTTCCTTTCTCCCCTCCTGCCTCTGCCTGGCACGCGCTCATTGCCACGGGTGTGTGTGTGGGGGGGGTGACAGCTATAAGGGCAGACTGGCCTTGAAGCGGAGTCTCTTCCCCAGTTCCATTTCCAGAAGCCTAAACTGTTAGGAGGGTGGGGAAGATCTGAACATGGATCAACATTTGGGGAAAAATAGAGAAGAAACTGGATTCCCCCAGACTAGGACATGATTCCCCAGACCGGGGGGTGTTGGAGGGAGGTTAGACGACAGAGGTGCAGCGTGAGGGCACCGGGGCCGGGCACCTGGGCTGAGCCCTGGCAGGGGTGGGTGATGCTGCAGGGGATGTTGGCCTGGGCACCTGGACGGAGGAAGACGGTCGTACAGAGAGAGCACGAGGAGCAGGGAGACATCTCTGTGCCCCTGAATAAGGCAAGGAGACACCGGGACCACCAGTGACTGAGGACCAGACTGGTGAGCACCACTGGGAGGTCTGCTCAACACCCTCACATCATATAAATCCCCCTGAAATCAGCCAGCACCCTAAGTAAATGGAAGAATTCCTAATGTGCTAAAGTTAAGCCTCCCCTACTCAGAGGGAATAGGAACTTAAAATGAACATAAGATGGATGGGAAAAACTATTGTTTTTCTTTGTAAATCCAGATTCTTCCCCGCCCCACAT